CCAAAACAAGTCACTTGACTGCACACATCACACATACATCTCTCCACAGGGAGAGCAGAGGAAGCCTGAACCCCCATAGCAGATGTCAAGCTGTCTCTTTTGGGCACTCCTGGAAGCTACTCAGGCTCTACGCTGAGGAACACGCTATAGGAAATCATATACCACACAAATCCTAGTGGAGAGAGTGACCAGAAGAAAGCTGAGTCTGCAGGGAAGAGGGTCTTGAAATCAAGCTTGCTTAGGAATACGGTCACTCTAATTCTCAAACACAAGGTACTCATGTTCCTAATGCTCTCTCATAAAGGGAGTCTGTGGACTGGGGGTGTCCCGGATTTCTGTGCTTCCCCACACACATTCTATCAAAGACTCTGACTTCCATGAAAACATGAACCTTATTTCCTTAAATGCAACTCCACTGCATACCAACACGAGGTAGTTAATTTCACAGATGCTTTGGCTACTTCCAAGAAAGGATGAGACAGGATCGATCTGTTTTACGTGACAAAGGGCTTTAAATCTCTCAGTCTCCTGATGTAACTGTCAGGAAGCAGGGATTTCTGTACATGGCCCTTTGCAAGCCTTCTTTGCACACCAATACAGAGCCACAAGTGCTTTATACACATAAATGGTCTCTACAAACATAAATCAGTACCTGTATTTTATTCACAGGCTATGCATAGAAACATACTCCTGAACAGAGTATTCTGAACTACACCTCCTCCTTCCCATCCCCAGGGAAGACATAATTATTTTTAATCACATACAAACAAAACTGAGCTATACACTGACACAGCTGTAAGCACAAGTGATACCTTCAATCAACATTCCCAAATATATTGTCCTAATAAAGTTCAGACCAGTAACAGGTTTTCCTCCTGGGCACTAAACTGTCTCTTCTGGAAAACTTGAAGCAAGCTGAATTCTCTCATGGCAGCAGATTCCAGCAGTGGGAAATGGAGTCCCAGGCACTTCCCATTTGTTTGCTTGTGATAAACATTCGAAAAGCCAGATCCCCACATGCAAAAAAATGAGGAGGAGGTGTTTTGCCGGACATTTCAGAAGAGGAGGATCAAACACCGAGCCACTTCAGGAACACCAGCACTGACCTGACACGAACTGCCATGGCCCTGCCAGGATAGGAAGCCCGTGAACTGGGAGATAGATGCAGAGCAGAGGCAGCGCCCGGCGGCAGTGCCAGGCTGACACCTGGAGGAAGAGCGGAGCAGGAGCGGGAGGAGTCGCGCAGGAGCCAGGCAGAAGCGGGGCCAAAGACCGTGATCTGCCCGGGGTCCTCTGCGCCGCTGCCCGCTGCGACCAGCCCCTCTCCTTCGGCAGAGCACTTCTGCGGTGGGCCTGCTGATAAGAAAGAAAGGGGAGGGGAGAAAAATATTTCAATGCCTCAAAAAACAGCACCGATAATTATTTTCACCCTTTCAGTTTCAAAATTGAACACCCCCACCCCTCTTTTTTCTTTTGCTCCCATGGTGTCATGAACATTTGAGGTATTTTGTTTCAATATTTCTTCCAAGTCACTTGCCCCCTGTTTCTTCATGAAACAAACATAGCAGGATGGAGCAGGCCATAAAAAGCGTCAGATTACAGTTAATTCAACTAAAGGTGCTGTCCTTCCCCACATCCTCCTCAAACAGCAGTTAAGCAGCAATTATGGGTTACACTTCATGCCCCAATGTCCAGGCAAGCTGCTGAGCACAGAAGGGAACCCCACAGTGCTTAGTTTGGGTTAACAAGAAACACTTCAGCTCACATCTGATCTCCACCATTCCTTTGAAAGCCTTCCCTCCCTCCCTCCCTCCCTCTGCACAGGTGATTTCGTCCGTTCAGCAGCAGAGTATGAAACCTCTCAGTCGCTCCCAGTTAACCTTATCTGGCAGTAAAATTAGGGATACAGTACAGGAATTAGGTCAAGCTACTTACTTACCCAGGAAGGTCAATTTAGGTCAAAGCTATCTTGCACAGATGGCTAATTTCAATCACACATTCGACACAATTGTTCAATAAGCTAAAAATAAATAGTGAAAATAATTATTTTAAAGCTGCCCTAATTGTTTCTCAATTTCCCCTATTAATTTAACCTATAACACTTCCCCTCTCAAAGCTTCAAAGCTTTAACTTAACAGCCAATTAAAGCTCCTCTTATTAAAAAAAAAAAAAGTGCTGTCAGCTCCTCGTATTCCTTCTGACTGAACTCTTTGAAGCACTTGGGATTTCATATAAATTGCACAGGGCTTAGAAACAAAGTGTTTTTTCCAGGTATAATGTTCTCAGCGAGCTAATGATTCAGTGGACAATTAAGGCTAAATAAGGTTTTAACTTGGTAGCAACTTTCTATGCTGTATTTGGCTCTAGCAAAGTGAGTCACCACTGGAGTGAGCACTGATGCTCTTCATCTGTCAGTGGGAGGTGGCAGGAGTGGGACTGCCCCTGCTCAGGCTCACCACAGTGAGAGGCTCCTCAGGATGGGCAGGATTCACTCCCCTTAATTCATGTGGCAGCTATATTCTTATTCCTGTAAATGCATGTGTCTGCATAAACCTGGATTACCCCCCTCATTCTCCCAGTGAGCACTGCAAAGAAAAAAGCCAGTGGGACACTTAATAGGAAAAATTTTGCCACCACACATATATCATTCCTTTTAGCTTGATCCCAGTTGTTTGGTTCAGGAATTTTAGCTGCCAAGTACACCAGGTTGATCAAACCAGGACACAGAACAAAACCATCAATAGCCTGTCAAATTATTTCTCTATCAGACAACAGCTTTGTGGCCTCTTAAGACTGCATTTCTAGGAATCCCCGGTATCTGAATTCTCATCCTTCTGTGACCCTGTTACATGTGGGACTCGCTGAGCCACCTCCTGAGCTTAGCTTTTCACAGCTCTGCAGCACTCTGTGAGGTGAGTTATCACACTGGGCTCCCTGCTGCAGGAAGAAGGGATATCCTGTGCTTCATCCTAAATATAGCCAGGGGTCCCTCCCCTCCTCTCAGAACAACTATGTATAAGAATCTTCTTTTGGAATGCATTTTCTCTAGGTATCTTTTCTAAATTATTCTTAATGCAAGCTCACATGAAAGAAAAAAAACATCCAAACAGAAACAGCGAAACTATTCAGAAAAGAAGACAGAAACGAAGTAAAATAGGAATGAACAGTTCAGAGACATGCTTCAACTACAACCCAGAAAGGGGAGAACACAAGGAAGTTTCTTAAAGGTAATCCTTGCTGAATTTTTACAGTGAACACAATTCCTCTGGGTTTCTCCCGAGCACTGCAGTACATGCAGGAGAAAGCCATACGCAACATGCACAACAGCTGAGGAGGAGGAAGAAGGCACAAGGTGCTGTCAGCAGGTCTGCATGGGCAGGAGGTATACAGCTTTCAGAACACTGACTTTGAGAGATCTCAGTGCATGATTGATTAATAGATACATTTGAGAGGTGCTGTTGACCAAAACTAACTTAATTTGGGTAACCAAAGAGTGTAACATGGGTATTTGGGGGTGAGGAAGCACAGATGTTTGTACTGAACACCTGGTCTTTACTGTCACTCTTGATCACCCTGAATCTTTTCCTTCACAATACAAACCTCCCTTCCATGGGAAAACATTTCATACTTGTCACTCTGCCTTGGAGAAATGGTCTCACATGTTGTTTAATGAGACAAAAAACCGTCAAAGAATTCTGCATGACACATGGCTGAAGAGGAGGCACAGGTAGATGATTCCAACTCTGAAAACTAGAGCCAGACAACACCTAGTGAATTACTGCTGACTCTTTTTAAAATTAGGAAACAAAAAACCTGAAAGCAACTGACAACCAACCAATAACTTTACTTATTTAGGCCAAGCAAATCATAGAATCACAGACTATCACAGGTTTGGGTTGGAAGGGACCTTAAAGCTCATCCAGTTCCAACCCCTGCCATAGGAAGGGACACCTTCCACTAGAGCAGGCTGCTCCAAACCCTGTCCAACCTGGCCTTGAACACTGCCAGGGATGGGGCAGCCACAGCTTCTCTGAGCAACCTGTACCAGGGCCTCATTGGAAGAGTCTTCTTCGCTACTAAGATTTTTTTTTTTTTTGGTACTTCATAGAGTGTACAGACAAAACAAACCAACCAACCTAACAATTATTATCTTAATTAACCAGAGATTACATAATGTCTGAGTTTCACAATCTCTCATTCCCAATCAGAATCACAGAATCAACTAGGTTGGAAAAGACCTTTAAAATCATCAAGTCCAACCATTACCTCGGCACTGCCTAGGCCACCACTAAACCATGTCACCGAGGGCCTCATCTACACGGTTTGTGAACACTTCCAGGGACGGTGATTCCACCATTCCCGGGGCAGCCTGTTCCAACACCTGAACACCCACTCGGTGAAGAAATTGATCCTAATATCCAATCTGAACCTCCACTGGCACAGCTTGAGGCTGTTTTCTCCTGTCCTATTGCTTGTTCCTTGGGAAAAGAGACCGACCCTCACCTCACTGCAACCCCCTTTCATGTGGCTGTAGAGAGTGATAAGGTCCCCCCTGAGCCTTCTCTTCTCCAGAAGAGACAAGGCTCAGCGGGGACCTTTGAGACCATCTCCTTTAGACAACCTCCCATGACAGGACTGGCAGGAACGTACAGCGACCTTCCTATACAAAGCACACTACGAGAGCTGTAAAGGCCGCATCACCTGTACCCACAATGACTACCAAGCAGTGCTGTTACTTGCAGTACCTCCGCTCCGGGACAGGGGAGCCTGCGGCGGGAGGAGCCGGTGCCACGCAGCCCTGACGGGATCGGGACCCGAGGAGGTGGGGGGGTGTTGGCGTCCTGCCAACTGCCGCCGCACGTGCCCCGGAGAACAGCGCCCCCGCGTGCCAGCTGCCCGGCGCCGCGCACTGCCGATACAGCGCCGGCGCCGTCGCGGCGCTGTGACGTCATCGCTAGTCGCCGCGGCTGCTCCGCTGCCAGCGTCGCCCGGCTGGTGCCCCTGAGGTCCCGTCCCCGCGGAGGGGGGCCGGGAGCTTTAGGTCCCATCCGGTGCGGCGGGCAGGATGCACCAGAAGCTGCTGCGGAGCGCGCACTACATCGAGCTGGGGAGCTACCAGTATTGGCCGGTGCTGGTGCCCCGTGGCATACGCCTCTACACCTACGAGCAGATCCCCGTCTTCCTGAAGGACAACCCCTACATCACCGACGGCTACCGGGCCTACCTACCCTCCCGCCTCTGCCTCAAGAGGTGAGGATACACCCCCCGACCCGTCCCGTGCCCAGACCCCGGCTCACCCCCGTTGTGTCTCCTCACAGTCTCTTCATCCTCTCCAACGAGACCGTCAACATCTGGAGCCACCTGCTCGGCTTTGTCCTTTTCTTCACGCTGGGAATCTACGACCTGACGGCTGTGCTGCCGGCCGCTGGAGCCTCCCGGGAGGATTTCGTCATCTGCTCTGTCTGCCTCTTCTGCTTCCAGGTAGGGGCTGGGGAGAGCCATTGGCAAGAGGGCTCACAGCTACAGGTTGGGTGGAAAAGTGATTGAGAGCATCCTTGTGGACGACTTAGGGGTGTTGGTCAATGAGAAACTGAATACGAGTCGGCTTCAGTGTGCACTCGCAGCCCAGAAACCACCCATGTGTTGGTTCCTTCAAAAGGAGCTTGACCAGTAGATCAAAGGAGGTGATGCTGTGCTCCTGCTCTGCTCTCGTGAGACCCCATTTGTAGCACAGTGTAGAGTTCTGCTGTCCTCAACATAAGGACATGGAGCTGTTGGAACAAGTCCAGAGGAGGCCATGGGGATGATCAGGGGCTGGAGCGCCTCCTGTATGAAGACAGGCTGAGAAAATTGGGGCTGTTCAGCCTGGAGAAGCTGCACGGAGACCTCATAGCAACCTTCCCATATCTGAGGGAGGCCTGTAAGGATGCCAGAGAGGGACTTTTCATCAGGTACTGTAGTGAAAGGACAAGAGGTGATGGACTTAAACTGAAACAGGGGAAGTTCAGGATCTAAGTAAGAAGTTCTTTACTGCGAGGGTGGTGAGGCACTGGCACAGGTTGCCCAGAGAAGTGGTGAATGCTCCATCCCTGGCAGTGTTCAAGGCCAGGCTGGACAGAGCCTTGGGTGACATGGTCTAGTGTGAGACATCCCTGCCCATGGCAGGGGATTGTAACTAGATGATATTAAGGTCCTTTCCAACCCAAACCATTCTGCGATTACGGACAGGAACCATAATTGCCTACACCAGGTTGCACTGCAAAACGTGTAGGGGGTCAGTAGGATGCTCTAAAGTTCAGAGCTTAAACTTATTGTAGCCCCTGTTAATATTTAAGACATTAATGCATCCCTGTTTGAACCTTTGCCTAGGTGTGCATGCTCTGCTCAGTAGGATATCATCTTTTCTGTTGTCACCGCTCAGAGAAGACCAGCCGGCGATGGATGGCATTAGATTATGCAGGAATTTCCGTCGGGATCCTGGGCTGTTATGTATCAGGCGTCTTTTATGCATTTTACTGTAGTAATGTAAGTCTGAAGTGCTTGTTTAGTTCCTGTGGTCTCAGTGGCATAGCCTCCACACTGTAGGAAGTGGGTGAACGGTAGGCAGGAGGCAGTGATGGAAACCGAAGCCAGTTCCTTTCAGACAGAACTCCACAACCTGAAGTGATGTGCAAACTGAGATTTCCTTTCAAGGTGTCATTTCTATAAGCCTCAAGAAAATACCTGAATTCATATGAAGGCAGGGTACAGGTCCCAGGTCGTGTCTTTGTCACAGGCCTGAGACTGATGATGGGATGTGTCCCCATCACAAGTAATTCAAACATCATTTCCCGTTAGATAGCTTGCATGAGGCAGAAACAAGCTCATTTTCTCTTGATCTAATAGAAGACAAGTAAAACAGGTTCCCTGTTGAAGGCCTAGACTACATCCATGCCTGCAGCTGAAGGAGTCTGCCAAGGGAGAGGTGGGTTCTGACATATGTACCTGGGGGACAGAATCCTTTCCCCTCCCTGTCAGTCAATTCACAAGTCCATTCATTCAAACTCCTCTTGGTGCTCACAGCAGTGACAGGAGATTTGATATATCATTATATTTCATACTGTGAGCTTTCTACCCATAGTTTACTTTTACACCTGATGAGAAAACTCACAAACTTGCTTTTGTTTCTTTCTTCTCAGTACTGGCGTCAGGTATATTTAATCACTGTGCTGGCAATGGTCTTGGCAGTGTTTTTTGCTCAGATTCATCCCAGTTACCTCACACAACAGTGGCACAGACTTCGCTCCATCATCTTCTGCTCTGTGTCTGGATATGGAATCATTCCCACCATCCACTGGGTTTGGCTCAACGGCGGCATTGGTGCATCTGTTGTACAGGTAAAAGAGAAAAAGAGGGAAATAAGGTTCCCTTTTACCTTTTGCTTTTCCTTCAGTCCTCTTACACTTTGAAAAATGAGGGGGAAGCAGCACAGACTTCTTTCAGACCATCCAATCTAAATGCAATTACTTAGAAGTTTATTGAGAAGCAGTGAACAGGTTGAGTAGAATAGATCTGATGTAAAAGCGCACTGTGAGAAGGAAAAGTGGATGCAAGGGTGACTGGGCATATATGCCTGAAGAACTGAGCATACCCTGTGGGAACATTCTCCCTTGGCTCACCCCAGGGAGAGGGGCAGGATCTAAGAGCTGAATAGACTGTGGAGCCACCACGGCTCCAGAGGAGACAGGGGAACTGAGATACACTGATGGACTGAGTACTGACTTCCTCTTCTGTCGCCTAGGTTGGCAGCAAAAATCAGTATTTGCCTGTTCAGCTCTCTATCTCTTACACAGCCATCATTTCACATCACCATAAAGTAACCGAACTATTTTCCTGTTCTTGTTTTATTGCCACTTAGAATTATGCTCTGGGGAACAACCAGCACAGTGCCGCTGGAGACAGTAACTTATGCCCCAATATGAATACCCCTAAAATCATATTGCAGCTCCCCAGTGGACCTAACTGTCCTGAAAAAAAGATATTTTGTCAGAGTGAGTAGTAACTGTGCTTGGCAGTCCTGGGGTGAAGGTTTGACTAGATGATCTTAAAGGTCTTTTCCAACCTATTTGATTCTGTTTGTGTTCTGCTGGAGGGCTGTCACTGGGCCTCTGCTGGGGCTTAGCCTAGTCCAGAGCTACTCTTCAGCGTGGAAGAGCAACATTTATGAATATACGTAGTCTTTAGACAGGGCACTTGACACTGGCTTTTGCAAAACCAGATAAACTGTAGTTGTCCCCCCCACATCTTCCCCCATTTAGTGTCTCCTTGTATAGCAGAATCCCAACTGGTAAATGAGATCTTCCACTGAAGTCTCACTTATCCTGTGATAGCTCAGTGTACTGGAAGATGTCCTTTGACTGAGAGATGTCGTCTGCAGGCTGCAGAAATACCAAGTAGCTTATGTACTGAAGCAGAGAGGGCATAATAAAACAAGTTTCTTCCCATTCAGATTGTCTCGTACTTGGGCATTTGCTTTCCTCTTGGATTTTGTCTGTAGATAACATAGGCAGTAAAGTAAGATGCAATTTTGTCATGCCTTTTTCATTTGTAAGGACTTTATTTTTTGCTATTTTTACTTTCTACAAGAATAGGAGAGCTTCCTTTTCTTTTGCAGGAGTTTGCTCCGCGTGTAGTTGTCATGTACTTCATCGCTGCTGTAGCTTTTCTCTTCTATGTTTCCAAAGTTCCAGAAAGATACTTCCCAGGTAGGAAATTCTCTTCTGGATGGTTTTGGTTTTTTTCTGCAGTTTAGCTTCCTGCAGTGTCACAGTCCTTGCTATGAGTCCTCACCTTCTTGTGAGAGAACAGAGTGACCACATTCCCCATGAAGTGTTCTGTAGAGTAAAACACTGTGTGTACTTGCATCCAAAGGTGACCAACAACTTGGGATCAAGTTCGTTAGAGAAACTGCGGTGCTTCCCTGCAAGTGACCTGTGTAGTTGAGGTCTGGAGGAGACCGATTGCTAGTTGCATAGCATGAGTTATTGCCAAATGGAATGACTTGACCACTGCCCTTTCTCTTGCCCACAGGCCAGCTGAACTACCTCGGCTCAAGTCACCAAGTGTGGCATATCCTTGCGGTGGTGATGCTGTACTGGTGGCATCAGTCCACAGTGTACATCATGCAATACCGACACAGCCAGCCCTGTCCTGAGTATAGCCCAGGCTTGTGAGTGAAGGTACAGCGGCTCTCATACTACTGGGAATAGGGTTTTCTAACAAGCGTAGGGTTAAGTACTCTTGTCCCAAGTTTCAGTTAATCTCCCTCATTAGTTTCCCCAAAGGAAATGATGGCTGCTGTAGTACTTGTGGTAAAGAAAAAAGTGGTGATCTTGAGGCCAGGGCCTGCTCATTTCTACTGCTGTGTTACATGAGGCTGCAGTATCCTTGAACAGTCCTAGAGCAGACTGGACAGGGCTCTGCCAGATCCCTTTCAGCTCTGTTCCACAATGTAATAGCCTCAAACTGTCATTAGCCTTTGTTCCCAAGTAGTCTTGTCCTCAGGTTTTGTCAGGTTTTCAGTCTACTAAGTATTGAGCTGGATTTTTTGTTAATTGGGTAAGAGTTGATCAGTGGTGAATGCTCCATCTGTGGCAGTGCTCAAGACCAGGTTGCACAGTCTTGGGCAACACGGTTTAGTGTGAGGCATCCCTGCTCATGGCAGGGGGTTGGAACTAGATCATCTGAAGGTCCTTTCCAACCCAAACCATTCCGTGATTCCATATAGATGGTGACTGAACTTGGTTTCCCACTGTATTTCAGATGAAATTTCTGACTTTGAGGTCTGCACCTTACCTGCTGAGCTGTTACGAGGTGAAGCACTGAGGCAGTTCCTTTTCTGACTTCTGGACTGCTGCCTGGTTGCTGTTGGGTTATGGTGACGCTTGAAAAAACGAACAGCGTGGCCTGGGATCTGAGCTGCATTTCCTTCCTGTTCTGCATTCCAGTATAAAATAGGTCTTCCTGGAGTGTGACAATGGAAAGATGGGCTGTAAGACTCAGCATTTGTTCTGCTTGGGAGACAAAAACGACAGAACTGAGTGAAACCTGCTGAGCTCCCCAGCCCACAAACCCAGTACGGAGGTTTGGTTCAAGTGCATCATCAAGACACAGCTCCTGGCTGTGTGCGTGTAAGCCCACAGTAACTGGGGGGCTTGGTGCTGGATCTAAATCACAGTGGTACAGCGTGTTGCAACCACAGCATCTTTATCTGAATGACTTTCTTCAGCATTAGCACAGTAACATATTGAGTATCTCTTTTACTTCCTTGGACAAGCTCTTCTTTTTCTGGGAGATAAGATCAGGTGTTATCCACCACAGCCACCCCTTCCTTTCAGATCCTAAAACTTGCCAATATAGATAGTGCCATTAACTTCAAGAGATCTCTCTAGATCCCTCCAGCAATTTGGAATCAAGTGTTCTAAAGTACTTCAGGAGCAGTGCTAAACCTGTGTGCTCATCAGCAGAGTTGCTAAGAATTAAAGTTACATTTGTTTAATAGGCTGAAATAACACATCCCAAGTGGGGAACCTGCTGGGGATTCAAATCACTGTCTGTTGGCCTTTTACTGTGGGATGTGCAGTACTGTACTTGCAGAATCTGTTACCGAAAATAACTTGATTGCCATAAGCCTGCTGCAGTAAAAACGTTGCCTTTGGCTTTAGAATGTCCTGAAACCAACTCTTAGAAACTTTAGGGAGTTTATAACTTACAAACATTAGGGAAACACAGAATGCGGAGGTTATTAGTAGCTGTAGCATAATTAACCTGAGGGGTGCCATTTTTCCAACAGGATTGGAATTATTTGGATTTGGGGATTAGAATCAGCATTTTTAAGCGGCTTCTGTGTAGCAGTTGTACTTGTGTTCATAGTCCAGTTGAATAGTGGTAGCAAATGCTGATTCTTCACACAATCCAGCCAGTAGTCAGCACTAGCCCTGTGGAGAGTCCTTTGCTTGCCTCAAGGTGCTGTTACCATGTGGCTTGTTTAGGAGAAGAGCTGTTGGAAGGATGAGGTGGCATCAGCATGGCTGGTGTTGGAAAGCAGGAGATAACCTTGTTTCTGCTTTAATGCCAGGCAGAAACATTCTGGTCTGAGATTAAGTGTCCCAGCTGCCCTTGTTACCTGCAGGGTGGCCTTTGAGAGCATCTCAGCAAACTTCTCAGCTTTTGTGATCCTCTGACACCAGCCCTCTTAAAACACGCAGATATGGCCTGGCAGGATTTCAGACAAGCTCTCTTACTCCTGAGGCCAAAACACAGGGGAGTAAACCCTTAAGGCAACATGCTAAGAGCTCTGTAACACACGAGAAGCCCTTAATGCACTCTTGCCTTTGTCATTGCTGTTCCCTTCCCTTTAGGGAGGGATTTCCACCATGTTTTAGCTCACAGGGAGGGGAAGAGGGCTGCCTTGGTGCAGTGTCCTCCTCGGGGTAGACAGGCTGCTCTTGGGTCCACCAATGCTGCCTCTTCTCCAGCCTTCACCAGCCCAGCTCCCCCCAGCCTTCCCTGTCAGGGCTGTGCCAGTGACACGCAGAAAACTCATGAAATCTTACTGTCAGGCACCTGAAATCTAGTTAGGGGTGGAGAAGGCAGGACACCAACTTCTCTCCTGATGTGCTGGAGTGTAACGCCAACCATCTCTTAAGTTCAGTGGGTTGTTGTGGGGTTTTTCCAACTCCAGGAAAAAGTAGTGAGAACTGACTTTGCCTTTGAGAATCAGCTCCCTGACCTTGAGCCTTTCAGTGTAAACACTGTTTTTATTTATTTATTTTTAATTTGACAGCCAAGCGAGTTCTAAGTGCACTAATTACTACTGCTGAAGCCTGAGGAGGAACCGGCAAGTAGAAAAAACGATTTCCAATGTCATGTGAAAAAAAAAATAAATTTTAAGAACGTGTTTGTGTATTGAGAGCATACTGACTTGATAGTTCTAAGGTATTTTTATGTCAACTCTTACCTACTGTAGCAGTTTTCACTGGATCAGGAAACTGACTGCCAAGATATACATTTTTATTACCCTGAACTTTATCAAGCTGCATGATGGTCTTCTATGTATGTACTGAACCTGTAAATAAATTCCACTTCATTGGCCATTCCCTTGAAGTAACATCATTCTTGCATCTCACACAGCAGAGCCACAGATGCAAATTGCTCAACCACACAACATCTGTCACCTCCCCTGTGTTTTACAGACAGGTGGACCAGCTCTTGAATTCCCACAGCATGGAGGCACAGGGCGGGTGTTCCAACTGCACTACTCCAGCACTGCATGTAGTGTATTCTACTAGTGGTACAGTGTTTTGTAGGCATTAGCAAGTAATACTGAACCTAACGAATTGCAACTAGAATCTGATCAACAGGTTTTTAACAAGGTGGACAGAGAAAGCTGGCTGGGCAGCGAACTAAAAAAAGTACCTTAAAACATTTTTTGAAGAGTGACAGGATCCTGCAGCTACAAAAAGCAGAAGAAGCAGCACCGCTTACAGCAAGTGAATTACAGACTGAAGGTGAATACTTCTAACGAGATGTGAAAGTCACTGTTACCACATTTGTTTATTTGACAACTGCAAGTGTTTCATGACATACATCAGTTGCACAAAAAAAGTTAAAAGTTCTCTGTTTAGTGGTACACAAAAAAGCTTCAGAAACTTGAAATCTAACAAGAAGTGGAAGTGTAGTTCAGGAAAGTGCACTTAAAAGCTGAATGCCAGCAATTTAAAAACAGTTTTTATGCTCTTTTCATATTAGGTGATGCCTTAGTCACAAATTGAGCTACACACGCAATTTCTTTGCTTTTCCTTTTGAAATAAGCACTACGGAGCAGTAATGCAGCAGCCACCCTTCCGACTTCTTTTTCCTCTTGGTGCTTTCACTCCTGATCACTCCCTCAAGTCACACAGAAGTGATTGTGGCTGCTGTTACTAAAAACACAGCTACTTCAAGAGATACAGGACGTGTGCGAATATGTGTATGTTTTATATATACTTTTCATATATAAAAATACACAATATAGTATAAAAAAAACTCCAGATAAACTCTTATTCTCACAGTAGCAAATATATCAACTTATTTTCACAGTACTTGGTTTTTCTAAGTTTGAACACCCCGAATAATGAGAATTTCCATCCCCCCAACATGGTATTCATGGTGATGCGGGTCAGTCAAAGCCATTGCACACATCTGGCAGCATGGGACAGTCTGCAGGGAAACACTACTACCTTTTCTTTCCAAAACCACAATCATTAAGGACTTCTTCGTATCTTTCAATCGAATCTCTCTCAAGCAGCTGATTCTAAAAGGCCTGGGGTTCAGTCATTCAATGTGCTGAAAGGAGAGCTATAAAAATCAGTAAGTGGTGTCAGCTGGAAGGGAAGGGTCAGCTACTTACCTTGCCATTCTTGTCTTCACAGGTATGTGAAGGCTTCATATGGTATGTGTCTAGTGCAGCAAGGTCTTGCCTATACTAAAGGTAAGGTCACAAGCACAGAAACAAAGGCTGAAGGATATTGTGTTCCCTGACAGGACCACATTTGACCAGTGGATCTTGGCTGAAATTCAACCCAAACTTGGGTTTAGCTGTGTATAAACAATACATACCCTACAAAATCAACTTCGCCAGGTATGTTGATCTCTTTTCAGCCACAAGAAAGGATACAGTAATTTAAACTCTAGAAATAAAACTTATTTATGCAAAAACCTGTTTCATAACTAGAATTTGCAGAACAAGGTTTATTAAGGCCATTAGAAAGCAAGTCTCATCAGCCACAACTTGCATGTTTTTGAAAAACTTGCCAGTTTTAAGAGCAACTCCGGTTTGCAGTTCGCTTTTACCTCACCTCTAGTTTCTGCTGACATCCTCACTTTCCTGTGCTGGAACACAACCTCTGCCAAAACCCAAACCAACCAGCCACGCGAGGAAAACCTGCAGCATACCTCAGCCTGAAGTCTCAGGGTGAGCAGACAAAAACCAAACACATTTCCTACTCTTCATTCACATAGACATTAAGGCCCACACTAAACCTTTTCCCTGGGTGTCCTTTTGGGCAGTGGAGCTACATCTCAGCCCCACACACACTGTTCCCTTCCTCTGTCTCCAAGTTCAGGGCCTCCTTAGCCATTTGCTTTTCCACCAGGGAAAGCTCCATTTAAAAACCAGGGGTCAGTTGCCTGTTGTATTCTTATCTTTTTTTTTTCTCCCATCTGCTCCATTTGTCATATCACTCTGTTCCAACAGCTATCTAGGCAGAGAAGGAACAGCTCCAAAGGAAACTGTAGGAAAGCAGTTCATAAGCACACAGAGAACAGAAAACAAGGAAAATCAGAGTTAACCTGAGTATCAGAAATTGCTACAAAACTTGGCCTGTGCTTCTTACAGCCTTTGGCACCAAACAGGCAGGTGAGAACAGCAGTAGTAAAGCCTAGGACACTCCTGTGCAAATGGAGTTGAAATATTTCTACTCATAACCTCTTAAGAGCTTAACTTCTAAGCCTGAACAAGGCAGCCTTCAAGCACAACTGAAATATTTCATATCAACCCTGTGAGAACACAAAACCAAGGAGGATGAAGGTAATGAAGACCTACAGATACAGACGAGATACCTTCCAGTTCCAGGATCAGAGGAAGCAATCTCACATATATTCAAGGGAGCATTTTAAGAAACCAACCCCCAAAGGAGACAAATGACTTGCTCCTATGTGTTGTTTTCAACAAATATTGTCAGGGATCTACCCCTACCATCACACATCTCAGGACACCTGGATAACTCACAGGAGACTCTCTAGAAAAATCAAGTACAACCCTAAATATTTCACTGTGAAAGGCAGGGTGGGGGATGACATGGGAATGCACTACCACAAACACTTATGTCCTCTGTATATAAACATCCAGTTATCCACTCATCAGCATTCAGCGGAGCAGGACATAAAGTTGAGTCGAGCAGAGGAACCATCTCCTTCCACTTCCTCTGTAGAACTGCCATGGAATAAAGGCAGACAAATGGACTGTTCGAGTCACACGTGCTTGGCACAACTTGCAGGGTAGCAGAGAAAAAGCCATTGCACCTACACACAGCACCCACTTCAACAGCATGGTAACAACTTGTCCTCAACACGGCTGTTCACATCACCTTCCCCTCACCTATGGGTAACACATGCTCCCAGCACCAGGTGTCTGGTGAAGCAGGATGGGGTCCTGCCTGTAAGGCTTTGTGGTGTGAAATGCAGTGCACTGGTCCAGCTGCCTCCTGTTTCTGCTCCCAGAGTTGGGGGCAGAGAGTTTCTTCAAAGCTCAGTGCATTTAGCAAAACTTTCTTAGAAAACATGCTTAAGTACAGCAACAGATTCATTAGAACTTAAAAGAAATTAGTCCTTTCATAAAATTGTTTTAAAAAAGCCAACTGATTTGAACCAATACACGTTTTCTTGGCAATAAAAATCTGAGAGGAAAAGGTGTTTTCAGACACAAATCCGAATTTGTAATCAAATAAATCTGATGGTTGCATCTCACAACTGTACAAGTCATCTGATAAAGTCCGTATGTGCCAAATGACGTCCGGTGTATACCAGCCTCAGCGCACTGAGTAGTCTCCAAAATGCTGCAAACACTGGCTGCATCCCTGCTGATTTACTCCCCCACATTCAGGCTTTTCATCTCACAAAGAGATATTCTATGTATCTTCAGTTTTAACTCTACACTTCCAGTTGGCTATTTTACATTAACAGCACTTAACTGTAAAATACAAATAAAAATTGAACATTTAGGCACAGGAAAAAAAAAAAATCTGCCTTTCATCTCTGCAGCTGCATAGGTGTTTGCTAGGGCCTGAGCCATAGCCATGCTCTGGAACTCTGGGCCACAGGCCCTTGAGGACGTGACTTCTTGATTTTCATGATTAATAAAGCTAGTTTTCTTTTAAGAATCGGAGACTTGACTGCTTCCAGGAAATCAAGCTGGATTTTGGTTCTCAGGTCTACTGCGACCAAGACGTGAAGCACCACAGTGGTAACCTACCTGTACATACAGAAAAGGTTGGTTGTGTGATCTCTGCCTGACCCCTTCCCCTCCACCCCAGCATATCACAGAGGATTGAAAAGGCAACACAAAAGTGCAGAATAACAGTATGTCCCAGGGCCCAGTCACAGACAATGTCTGTCTTATTCATATCCAATTTCTCTTTTCATTCCAGGAGCCATCTGCCACAACAAAATGATGCTCCTGGATCAGTTTTAATTTAAAAAAAAAAAAAAACAAAACCAAAAACACACACACAAAAAAAACACAAAAAAACACCAAATAAAACCAAACCAAAAAAAAAAAAAATTCAGAATTTGCCATTGTTTCAAGTTTCACTGTACAAGCTGTCCCTGCCTCCTTGAACTTGAACAAACTGTACAACACAGGTCCCTGTAACAGATAAATTACTCCACTAATTAAAACCTCTAGTAAGTAACTCGGAGAGGCAGAGCAGGGGAGAAACCCATTGGAAGCATTTACTGTTTGGAAGGAAATGGAGCTGCTCCAAAGGGATCTAACTCGAGTGCCTGTTGCTGCTGGCTCTGCGCACTCTGCACAACCAGTTCTATGAAGGGTACTGCACCAAAGTCATCTGTTTTCAGCCCCTCACCACCATGAATGGCTCTGTGCAAGGAACTCTGCCTTGGTCTGCCAGCCACTACCACTGCTCCATGATCCCCAGAGCCATCACCAAAACCTTGGTGCTGGGGATGCCGCAGCAAGTCTGGTGGATGGAAGGGTTTGGCTCCGAAAGGATCCAGCAGACTTTCATCTGCCTGCAGAGGGTTGGCTCGATCTTTGCCATCAGTCAATGCAACGCTGATGTTCTCTTTGGAGTCTGAGATGGTCAGGAATTCATTGCTGCTCTGTGAGTCCCTGCGACCAGCTTTCTTGTGCCTGCGGGCTCTCTCGGGGGTGCGGTAGCTGGGTTTCAGAGCCTTCTTCGTGGTGGTTGGGGTGCCATGGTGCCGCTTCCCATTGTTCTTTGAGACCTCCTGTTTCATTCGCCTTTGGCGGGAAGAAAGTTTCTGCAGGTTACGCTGCTGTTTCATCTTCTGCTGCTGACTCCCTGTGATCTCATCAAAAGGAACCAGCCCAAACAGGTCCTCTCTACTCCCACCAGTCTTGGGGAGAAGGGAAGGCTGAAATGGGGTGCAGCCAAAAATATCAAGGCTCCGTGGAGAGGTGGGAGAGAGCAGAGGCTCAGTTCCTGCCACATGGCCATCTTGCCGAGACACCTTTTTGCTGAAGGGGGCTTTTGTGAAAACATCAAAGTCATCCTGCTCTTGGCTCAGGCTGGGAAAAGCTGCCTGAGAAGAGACATCTTTGTCCATTTCTCTTGCCTGGGGCTGCAGAGTAAAGAAGGGCACTGCCCCAAACACATCAAATTCTTGGCCAGGGCTCACCGGGATTACAGTACTTTGCACCTCAGACAAGGACATATGCATTGAAGTGGGTTCTTTGATTTCACCACTGCTAATACCATCTCTGAACCTACCACTCAGGAGCTCTTCCACAGACTTTTGCTTAGTACGACCAGAATCAGAGTCAGAACTTTGCTTTTCTTCCTCCTCTTCCTCCACCTCTTCCTCAGAGTCCATGAGGAGAGGTCGGTGGCCTAAATTCTCCAGTTCTGTATCATTGTCATCATTGAAGTCTCCATTCTCTCCCTGCAACACTTCTTCATCCTCCTGTTCTTCTTCTTCCTCACTGCTCTTGGGAGAAGGAGGATCAGATTCGAAATCACTCTCTGACTCATCGCCACCTTTTGTCACTTGTCCCTCTGCAGTCTTCCTCCCTGGCTGGGGATCTCTAAAAGCATGGCTCAGCTTTCCAGCCTTGGTTGGCATCCCTAAGTTATTTCCTTGATTACCAGCCGAGTTATCAGCTGGTTTTCTAGGGGAACCTGCAGGTCAAAGAGAAACACAAAACACAACTTGAAATACACTCAAAGTCAGTACTTGTTCCACACACTCCACAGCCACACATACAGAGCAAACACCTATTCTGTGCTGAGAGAAATGAGCTAAAACCCATATCTAACATTTGAAACAATAGTGAAAACTATTAAGGTGCCTTTTCAAGAGATCCTTCAAGACTGACCCACAGCGCCAAGCTTTTTACCATACAGTCAGGTAAGTGAGGCAATACTGACATACTCAATGCAGCTTCAAACCCTTAGTGACACTGAACCTCCACAATTAGCCCCTTCTAACTTCTAGTGTAGCAATCTAAGCAAAAAAAAGACAAAAAAAAGCAAAGACAAAAACAAAAACCCTACTGCTTTAACTTCAGTTTGAGAGCAGAGTGTTCTTGTTTGTTTCTGAACAGGATCTGTCAGCCCAGTTTCTCTACAGGAAGGGAATTTATTTATTTTACTCTGACACTTTTATCTCCTTTTTTTTTTATATACATATAGTAAATAATTATCTGAAAACTAGAGCTAAAAGAACAATTCACTGATGACTTTTGAAGGGTGGTTGACTTAGAAATACTTTGCACCAACTGACAAAACAGTGAGCAAGACCATGCAGAGCATGCATATGGCACTCAGACTCAGGCAAAACAAGTTCTTCCCTATGTTGGGGCCCTGCTGCTGCACAAAGATATTTTCAGGAGTGTTAACTGTCAGGTTTTTATTTGAAGAGAAGGAAGAAACACTTGGTTTTCGATGGGGAAAGCATATTTGCTCCTGAGATGTATGTTTCTGTAGCACACAGATCACAAGGCAGCCACACAACTTTCTGAAGGCATAACTGAAGAACCAGCTAGGTTGGAAAACACCTTTAAGATCATTAAGTCCAACCTTTGCCCCAGCACTGCCAAGGCCAGTAAACCATGTCACTGAGAGCCTCACCTACACGGTTTGAGAACACTTCCAGGGACAGTGATTCCACCATTCCCTGGGCAGCCTGTTCCAATGCCTGACCACCCTCTCAGTAAAGAAATTGTTCCTAATCTCCAGTCTAAACCTCTCCTGGTGCAGCTTGAGGCCATTTCCTCTTGTCCTACCATTTGTTACTTGGGATAAGAGACCAACCCCACCTCACTACGACCTCCTTTCAGGTAGGTGAACAATTAATGCTAGTAACAGCAATGATAATTGACGTCTCTGCACTCAAATTTTCAGTAGTTTCTCTGGATCCTTGAAGCAAGACGGTATTATAGTCACTCCAGGCTGAGTATTATGTGGGCCCCAACCTTCAGCTGGGAACCAGAACAACAGCAAAACCAATTGTATTTCCACAGCCTATGCTTGCCTGACAAGTGCACCAAGTTCATGGTGATCCAGCTAGGAACAGCCACGTACCAACACGCTGCACCAAATGGTACAGTCCGAGTTCTGGGTACTTACTTCTTACACCTCTCCTACCTGACATAAACCTGAGGCACGGGTTGCTCCTCATTAGAGCAGTTACTAACAAGCTCTGCCCACAGCACAGCACTACACTGCTGACCCTCTCACCTATCCAAAATTAAAACAGCTTGGAAAAACAACTACTGAAATGTAATCCATTCCATGTGTTCATAGGATTGAAAAAGCTGGGAATGGATGTGTACACCAGTTATTTCCCTGAAACAAATCCTCAGCCAGAATCCAGCTCTTACTCTCTTGTTCTTACAACATCCAACATAATTTCTCAAGTAATTTCTGCTTTCACAAGAAAATTAATAGGCAAGTTCCTGGCCAAGTCAGATTATTTCTTTATATGCTCCAGTTTAGACCAGAATACTAGGTTTTACAGGAAGTATTTTTTCCTTTTTTAAAGGAATTAACAGCTGATTTCTTCATCCAGTCACCATTCTGCTCTGTTGCAATTACACTTAAAATAAAAACTGCTCAGCAGTATATTTTATGTATGGATTTAAAAACAAGATGACCAGAATGACTAAAACCATCCAGTGATTAAGGCTTTGAGTTGTTTCTTCTTTGTTTCTGGTGTCAGATTGCTTCTTATCTACTGTAATTTTACACACTACAAATTTGCTTTACCCACTAAATTAGAACCTGGATTATTTGGCTGCTTACTTTAGATTTCCCTAAGGTACAGCCTTCACATTGCACTCTATAACCCTCTAGCTTCCAAACCCTGCTGTTCCCAATATTTACTGAGATGCTAACGTTAACATAAAAGCAATTAGATTTAAAAGGAGAAGAAAAAGGAAGTATTTCTAGGCTAGATGTTAACATTACTTAGGCAAAAAGACCCCCAAGCCTTTTCTGTAGGGCCATATCCACAAGTCTGCACTCCCAAGCAATGATTAGACCTTTGTATGTAATACGTATGCAGAAAACAAGTTTTGATTTTCTTTTAAACAAGAACTGAATTAGAGTATACCTAATAGACCTGACTTCCTAAAAGGTTTAAATATTTTTCAGTTGCTGTCACAGTCATGTTCACTGGAAAACAAACTGCAAAGAACAAGGCAAAACCCCAACTACCAAGAGCTGCTGACTTAACTGAACAAGTGATTCAAGCCACAGGATGTTTAGCTCACAGTAGCAGATCTCTCTGGACAGAACACAGATCAAGCAGGACTTGACAGCACATGTCAAAACCCTTAAAGCGGTTCCCAAAACATACACAATGTACTCATACTGACACAAAAGCCACTGCAACAGGTCTTTATAGACACACCTAGAACTGTCATTACTGACAATATGCAGCAAAAGATTCAGGGAATCAGTCATGCAGACAGCCTAGTTTTTAAGGAATCTATATTAGTATCCTGTATTTCCTCTCTTAAGTCTACTACTGTATCTAGGAAACTGGGATGAAGACAGGAACTATTCATTGAGCAATCCCCCTTGCTGGAGATTCCTGTTCTATAGTAGACACAGAGCCTGTGTATTCGTAAATGTTTGTTCCTACGCATGAGAAAAAGTCTTCTCAAGTATCCCCATTCTAAAGCCACTTTGAGATATTGCAAGGATATTGATTTTTCCAGCCACCACATCTCATCCACAATGAATTTGGTTTAGTCCCAGTAACAGGGAGAAAACAGCAGCAAACTGGTATCCAAACAAAACAAAACAACACTATCCTGTGCTAAGCTATAGGTTTTAAACCTATGACAATAATTGCCTTTTCCAGACCACCATTCCCCCTCTTCTAAAGAAGTTAGCAAACTACACAAACACAGAGAACACTACAAATAGAAACAATGCTCCAAAAGGAAAAAGGTCTCCAATGACTATTTAATGCTCTGACCAAGTAGATGTCAAAAATGAAGCATTCTGTCAGGTAGATTTCATGCCATCTTCTATACCTTATCAGATGCAGTGCCTGTTTATAGAACCACAGACTGGTGATTTGGGTGGGAAAGGACCTCAAGATCATCTAGTTCCAACCCCCTACCCATGGACAGGGATGCCTCATACTAGACCATGTCACTCAAGGCTCTGCCCAACCTGGCCTTGAACACTGCCATGGATGTATATGTTCAGATACGTATTTATAGAAAAATGCTACGGAATGTTGAGTAACATCTGTTTGTAATGTGCTGTTCAGATTGCTACACTTCTAATCAGGTTTATATGCCCTAGGAGACAATTGTTCTTTGCCCAAATGCGAGCCAGGTGGAACATCTTTAATCATATAAGATGATCCCAATCTTCAAGGAAATTTTCTCTTCTGATGTTCTTTTTCGAGACATCCGATTATAAGGGGATGAATTCCCTTGAACAACTGCAGTAATTACATGCCTTCTGCTGGTTCATCATTTTAGGGCATTGGAGGGGGGTGGCGAGGAGCTTTAAGCTTCCTTGGAATTGGTAACATACTGCCACCATCACTGCACAACAATTTGCCACATGTCAGGCCCAAGGATTACAGACCTGCTGCAACTAAATCTGCACTGTTGTTCTGACAGCAGCCAGAGCAGCAGCTGCTGAATAGTGTAGTGGTTAGGCCATTCAAGGCCACATGGCAGCTAAGTCCCTGCTTACCACCTTTATTTTCAAGAACAAAAAGGAGTGAATAAAATAGCTATTGCTTAGATATTCTTTCAAATAATTAGTCTACAGCTTGAAGAGTGTTACACAACAGAAGTGAATGGTGATCATGATTGTCCTAAGATATGAAACAAAGAAAGAAATAATCATTTTGGAGTGACAAAGCACCACTGCCCTAGGCGAAGCCCACACAGATTTTGTCTTCTGATGTGTGAGTAAGTTCGAGTTACTTCTGAAATGCTAGCTAGAAAAGCTTAAGTCTAAAAATTATCTGCCTGAACCAGCAGTCAGCAAATAGTATGAATACTTGAAACCATAGCCAAGGAGAGGTTATGAAATAACATACACAGCATTTTCATTGAGCAGTATTTTCATTCATATTGATATGAACTTACTTTTAATTTTCAAGTTACCTACATCTGGGACATTGTACAACAGCCACATCAAGTTGCAGGTCTGGGCATCTTTTAATAAGCAGCTCTAGTACATAAATACCCAAATTAAACATGAGCTGATGACATGAGCTGGTTTAGTGTTGCACAGGAAAAGGCCTTCAACAAGCCTTTCCATTTCTTCTGTTCTCACGTTTACAGTTTCTTCCTCAACTGTAATGAGTTGTACTTCAGTTAAAGTTCTGTCAGGCAGATTTCATGCCATCTTCTATACCTCATCTGATGCAGAGCCTGTTCACAGAATCACAGACTGGTTCAGGCTGGAAAGGGCCTTACTCCAAAAGTCATGGCACAGAAATTTGCAGCAGTGGTTTGAAACGGAGTTAGAAGTAGTACATGAAAAAGTAACCACATGATTACTTGTCAGCCATGTTTCTTCATGCCAGAACAACACACTTCCCTGGTCTAACAGTGAATGCTCACAATCAGCTACTGCAGCAGAGTCCTTTCAAGGCCATGTTGTGGCCAAGTCCCCAGCCAGTTTCCATTGTTCTACCA